AACACAGCATATGTGAAATATGCTGATGCCCTGAAAATTCAGGAACTCGCATGCAGCTCATTTTTACTGAAGTCACAGTGCCTGAGCTGCCTATTAGGCCCATCCGTTGGGCTGACAGTTGGACAGACTCAGGCTGCAAAAGCTCAGGAAACGCAGCCCCCTCCAGGCTGGCCAGCAGTAGGGGATGCTGGATATGGATTTTATCCAGGCTGTTGAGAAGTTCAGTGCAAGTGATGAGGTCAGCATCAACAAGGTGAGGGGGGAGTGTGGCAGTGGGGAGAGTCCTGGCTATGGCCCTGGGGGAGAGCAAAGCTTTGGGGAGAACAGAGATTTCCACAAGCTCTGTGAGCTGGAGATAACCCCAGATTTCTGTGTCTTTCTGTTCTACTCCTGGGCCAGATGCCAGATCTGGGCTTTCCAGGCAGACTCCACTGGGTGGATCAGCCTCCTGTTGCAACTCCCCTTACAGCTCTTCGGCAGGAGTGAAAGGACACAGTTTTGCCCAGAGCCCTAATTTGACATATTCTGGGTACCTCTGCTGGAGGCAGGAGAGGAAAGAGGGCTGCTTTGCAAGGAGATGGGAGGTGTTCAGCGCTAGCATACCTGCACTTTGGCCCGTCTCTGAGCCTCTGCTTCCACAGCCAGCGACTGACAGACCTCAGCAGGCAGCTGCACGTTGTTGCTGTGTGAGAAAGAGACAAGAATTAAGGGTGCTCCCCAGGCAGTACAGGCCAGGTGCTCTGACCGTGCAGCCAGCCTGCTTGGAGCTGGCTCATCAGTCAGGCTCTGTAAAGCTGGTAGCTGATGTCCTTTGTTCTGAACTCCATGGGTGCTTCTTTTCTTGCTTCAGCCTTCTGCTACTCACATTCTTTTTGTGTGCTTTTCTAATGAAACCAGGTGTTTGTGATTGCCTGACAGCAAGGGCAGGTCTCCTATTTGTGTCTTTGAGGCTTGAGGCCTATGCTCTTCTCTTATGAGACATCAGAGGCCACGCTCAAGACACCACCACAGGAATTTCCTTCTGTTCATTATTCATTGCTTAGACCCAGATTCACTCATCTCCCTCTTGCACAGCCCTCTGTGCGATGGGCCCTTCTCCGTGGGCTTCTGAGTCACAAGCCCTTCCCAGCCAGGGCCAAGACCCCAGGGCCTTGGATCCAGACCAGGAAACAGAGGGGTTAGTGTCTGTGTGACTCCAGGGCTACCACAAGTGGCTGCAACTCTGCCAGGAACAGGAGCAAAATGGCAATGAGATCCCCGCGGAGGATCCTGCCCTTGCTGCCCGTACAGGAGCAAGGGCTGTATTTGCATGTGAATGTTTTACCCTAAGCAAAGGCTGAAAGGGGCAGAGAAAAGCTGGTCGGGATAAGGTCAGAGGAAAAGCAGAAAAGGAAGCAGGTGGCAGTGACCACAGCAGGGTAGGCACTTGCAAAGAGCCAGGGAGACTGCCTCTATTGGCACTTCCTACCTACATTTCTGTTCTTTCCACCTTGATCCCCCAGCAGCCTGTGACGGCATCCAAGGCCACCTGCAAAGAAGAGGATATTTTGCATAGGGAGAACATCAGCCTTTGCCCAGCCCCCTCATGAGGAAGCAGAGTGTGCAGGGACATTAATTAAAGGCAGTTAACAGCAGGGCTTTAGGGCAGCTTTGTTAGTTTGTGTGTGCTATTGTATGAGGCCTCTCAGAACTGAAATGGTTTCTTTAATTTCACTTTTGATTTGTGTTTTACAAAAGTTTTACAAAATATAACCTGTCCATACTGGTTTGAGTGTTGAACCAATTCACTTCCCTTGGAAAGTGAATTCATGACCAGCCTTGTATGGGTAGGTGTTGCGGCACCCCAGAAATACTGCTGCAGCTCCCTTATACACAGGACTAATGGCAACTTGGCCAGGCTGCAGAATAAAATCCCTCTGAGAATCTTTTCTTTGGGCTAAGCACTGAAGAGGAGCTACTGCAGGGCACTCATTCAGCCAGTTTAAGGTGTTCCTTCCCTTCACATCATACCGTGCCCATTGCCTTGGATGGCCACACTGTAGATTCTTCCCCTAAAGAGTTTAAAATACATGTCCCATTTTCTGTGAAGGGCCGCATGTCATTGCGCCTGTACAAACCAACATATGTGATCTGGGGGTCTAACCACTTCCAGCCCCTCTCTGGAGCCTCAATTCCCCCCTTGCTCTGCCCATGCTCTCCCTGGGAGGAAGCACCTTTATCTCCTGGCCGATGCTCTTCCTGTCCAGCAGGAGTTCGGAGAAGGCTCGATGGGCAAGGAGGCGCTTCGTGGTGGTCTGCACCAGCAGCTGGATGGCCGTGGAGATGCTGCTCAAGGTGGTGAGGAGGAGAGAGGCGTTCTCCAGCCGGTAGTAGCACACAGCATCTATCTCCAAAGTAACCATGTCTTTGGTCACCACCTAGGCAGAAGGCAGTAGGGACATGGAGCTGGTTCTGACAACTCTAAGGTCACCAAAGAAGCAGGTGATTCCAAGACTGAGGAAGACTGGCAGAATGGTTAAGTCCTTGTGTTCCTAGCCCTTCGGGGAGCTGGTTCTCAGCTCTGGCACTGACTGACCTTGTCCTGTGTAACTGTGACTAGGGAAGCCACAGATTCCTGGATTAGCAGGGAAGATTCAGTAGCTCCCCCATGGAGGGACATCCTCGTAAGACCTTACAATCTGTTCCTGCCCCTCTTCAGTGCGGTAAAAAGCTGGTACTCTGCCTGCAGCCCAACCACCTCCCTTTGGCTGGATGGTATTATCAAAGCATTTCAACTTGAGCAGGACTAAAACCTGTGCTTTCACACTACAGAGAAACAGTGTTTGGTATATTTTGGCCTTCCATTTTCTGAGGCATTAGGGTAACCATGAGGGTTTTTATTTTCTCCCTTCAATCTTTTCTACCACGAAGGTAGAAATGTAAAATGAGGGAGACAGGGACTTCTCCTACGTTCACAGGGACCTGGAGTTGGGGCTTTGCGAGAAAGGCCTGGTTTGCAGTGAGGCCCCAAGAACTGGCAGTGCTGCACACTATCTTATGGCCAATGCATTGATGCTTTGTGACCTGGAACAAGAATGTGTTAATTACATGCTGCTTTCTTAGCATCAGGACTGACCTTGAGCCTACCAGGACCAGTCACAGGGAAGTGAAATGCTCAAAAGTCCCAAGAGTGAACGTACGGGCTGGGGAGCCATACCTGGTGGAAAGGGATCTCCAGGGTTTTGAGGCGGAGGTCCACCTTGTGATATGTGTCCAGACAGGGAAGGAAGAAGAAAAGGCCTGTGAGGTGGAGAGAGACAGACAGCTGGTGATCATCAGGACCACAGAAATTCCCTTTCCTGCTCTGGGGGACCAGGAGAGGGGTTGACAGGAAGAATTATAAAGGAATAGCAGTGCATGGGCGCAAAATCTGAGACTATGTCAGTATGGGAAAGCACATTAGAAACTGATGGCCTCATCATCTCCTGTCTGGCTGGGCCTGTTGGAGAGGTAAAAAGGTGAAAAGGAATGTGGAGAGAGGGAGCTGAGGGAACAACCTACCAGGCCCTCTGGCTCTGCCAGGAAGGAGATGCCCAAGCCGGAAAACGATGGCTCGCTCGTACTCCCGCACTACCTGTGGAGGGCAAGGGAAACGGGAGGCTGGAAGTTAAGGCTAGAACCAGAGGAAAGGGCTCCAGCCCAAGTTGCTGTGTGCTGGGGAACCTCTGCTCTGGGAAAGCCCTGCACAGCAGAGACAGTTTCTTGGAGAATGAGAATGTTGAACGTCCTGAGAAATGGGAACTGAAATGTGCCTTCTCTGAGCCATGCTATAAACTTCTGGAGACTATTTGGTAGAGGAAAAATAACCTGTGAACTGGCAAATCAATATTGTCTTAGACCAAATTTCCTACATTTACAGATCTCTCTTTTTTAAAAAACCTAAAAGTGGCTTACAAAATGGCTAAATCTATTTGTTCTGTTGCTGTAGTGCAGCCATCTCCTCACTAGAAAGACTGAAGGTTATGTTTAGAAGTGAACAGAAATGTCACACCCATCATTATTTTAAAAAGGAGGAACTGAAGCCCCTTCTGCTAACGTGGCAGTAGAAGTACTGCACAGCAAATGGTGGAATCCCTGTCCAGCCCTCCTGCTGCGGCAATATGTAGAAAAAAAGGACAAGATAAAATTAACAATGAATTGATGAAGTGCAAACAAGAGACCAACTAAGTTTTATCATGGTGTCCGCTGAATACTGAACCCACTGAATCAGTGGGTTACATCTGCTTCAGACACTAAATGCCAGACAGAGAGAGGTCCCGTGGCTATTCTCACCTTCATGCAGAACCACACAGAAATGGGGAATGTCATCACGATGAACAGGAAAGACAAAATGGTCAGAAGCCATTCGCAGACACCCAGACCCGCAGACTTTACACCTAGCGAGAAACATGACCGTGTTAAGGAATGGTGACATGCTGAGACTTGCCTGCATATCTCGGTCTCTGTACTGCCCTTTCTCTGGCCCTGGCTGAACCACTGGCTCTCACTGGACCTATGTTAAAGAACAACCTCTGCTCCACATGTCTAGGCAGTGCCAGGGCAGCCTGATATATTTTGTCTCTACTGGCAAAAATGGAGCTTGGGTCCCCATGCTTCTATGTATAACTCCTTTACCAGAGGCTTTAATTTGAAGTCCTGAGGCTGCCAAGTAGTATCAAAAGGCTTAGAAGGGGCAGCCAGCTGCCTGGGTTGGGATCCCAGGAGGTTCCTACCACCTATGGAAGGGCAAGCAGAAGGACATGAGAGCAGAACAGACGGAGCTGCAGAATGTCTTTTTTTAAGCTTGCCTCTTCGCTGCAGAGCACTGTCCTGCCCCTGCTGATTGCTGATCAACGGGGAGGGTTGGGGTCTTCCAAGAAAAACCTGTCAGTCCAGGATGGGTGCAAAGGTACTCACCATGTGGAAAGCAGTTCAAAAGCCCATTGCTTTTGCCCCCTCCCTTCCTTGAACCATTACCTTCCTCTTGCTGCTCACTGTCCAGCAATGCCATCGCCTCCATTTCTTCATCAGGTATCACTCCATCCACATCCACCACAGTGGATGTGTGCACCCTGCCATCCGTCCCCACGCTGCTCTGGGTCTCCTTTGCCTTCTCCTGCTTTACATCTCCCTTTCCCTTGCTGCTCTCCCTCTTCTCCCGTTTGCTCAGCAGAGCTGGGGGCTCCCTGCTCCTCCTGCGGGACACCCTGGAGGAGCTCCGAGATCTCTTATCCATCCTCACGTGGCTCTCCGAGCTGAGGAGCACACAGGTCTTCTGGCAGAGGGATGAATTTGTGCTTGAATTTATTGCTGCGGGCAGGAAAACTGGGCAGGGCAGGAGGTGACGGATGTGGGAGGCCCATTCCAAATTTACCACTGGCTACTCAGATGTAGTGGCTAGTGACGTGAGCAAGCTGCTCCCCAGCTTCTCCGCTCAGCTCGCACACAGCCAGCGGCAGGGAAAGGGAGGCTGGGTG